GAAGACCGGGTTTAGAAGGATATTTGAAATGCCATTAAGTCTTTTGTGATAAAATGCTACAACGTTCTGCTGCTCTTGCGACACTGATGTGTGGTTTTTATGAGGTGAAATCTTGTATCCCATTTCCCTGGATAAATGCTCTACACTGACAGGTAGAACAGTTGCAGCTTCTCACCTGCAGTTTGCGGAGCTGCTTGATGGCTTCTTCACGATTCTTGTTAGCAGTGTCTATATGGCTTTCCAAATCCTTCAGGTCCATCTCTAGCTTCTTCCTTGCAGCCACAGCAATGGAGCGCTGTTTTCGTTCGTCTTCCAATTCCACCTCCATCTCCCGCACCTGTATGGAGAAATACAGGCATCAGCGTTTCAGCTCCTTGATTTCCCAACAGCTGCTCTTTGCATCCCCCTTTCAAACCGTACAGAACTGTGAGCATGTGACTCATTTCCATTCTTCCTGGTAGGGGGATGGGGCTAACGCTCCTCACTAATAAAGCTACATGGGTTCCTTTGATAGACAAGGGCTGTTGGAACCTTCACACGCACAAGGGGCAAAGTCTCTCACAGGTTTGCAGTGCTGCCTGGAGAGTTACCATTAACAAGAATCTGTGGATTCAGTGTCTCTCTAACCATCTTCGGACAGAAATGTCTTTGTGCATAGAACACTTTTGGGATTTACAGAGCAATTCTTACTTGTCTAATCAGCTGTTTCTTCTTCTCTTCATTCTGTTCATCACGACCCTGAAGGTCCCGGTCAAACTGTGCCTTCATGGCCTGTTGGTTCACTTCTAGCCGCAGTTTGGCATCCTCTGTGGCCTGCAGTTCATCCTCCAGCTCTTCCAGCTGTGTCTTCATCTCCTCCACCTGCTGCTCCAGGGCTCGCTTAGCCTTCTCCAGCTCATGGACCTACGGCACAGTACCACATGTGAGGTTTCCTCAAAGAGTGCAGACAATCTCACCTATCCTAAGAGCAAAAAAGTCTAAGAACAGGCACTCACATAAAGACAGGATACAAGAACACTGCATCTATCCCTTGTAGTAGGGCAGAGATACCCTTCAAAGCCAGCTGCTTGCATACCTGCAAGCAGCCAGTGTGAATCATGATCACCTATTAGTTCTGGTCACGTACGTGTGATGGTGGGAGAAAGAGAAGAGCATTTGTTAGCCCAGTCCTAACTTACTGCAGACTTATCAGAGCAGGACACCTCTGGTTCTGACAGAATTCAAGAAAATATTTTTTAGCCTCTGATTTTTTTTTTTCCTTCCTGCTTATCATAACATTTTTTTGCCTTGAAATACTGAGGTTACCATCTTCCCTTGCCTGGCTAATCTCTGTATTCTACATATCAGGCTCACATCGTTATCTTTGTCTCTGCCACGATACCAGTTAATTTTCAGTTTGCCACTATCTCATTTCCAGGCTCTTCCAACCCATCTTTCTCACTTACTAATGTAATACAAGCATAACATTCACAAACTCACAATGCGTCTGGTATTCTCTACTACATTCCTCTGCTCACGGTAGCGTAAGCTTTTTGCAGTATTAAACTGACAGTATCACCTGTGTGATGTTTCCTGCCTGGATATTTTAACTTCATACTTACACTTTTCCCAACATCATCCTTTGAACTCATCAGGTCTTCCATCTCAGTGCGGAACTGCTTATTGATTCGTTCCAGCTCAGCTTTCTGCTCTATGGCTTCTTCCAGGGCTCTGGCCAGGGAGAGGGCCTTAGTCTCCTTCTCACGGGCTTCTGCCTCGGCACGGTCCCGTTCTTCTGCATACTTGGCAGAGATGTTCTTTTCCTCTGCCAATAGCTACAAGAGCACAGCATCAGTATTCTGAGAAACTACTGACAATATTCTAACAAGGTAAATATGCATCTTTTCATTACTGCTTAATAGTGTTCTGCCATGGATAGAAGGAACCAAGAAAATGCAGCTTCAAAGAATTAGGCATGCCATCCACCTTTAATAACTGTGCTGACCCCCAAATGAACAAACTTCTGATTCCCTAGGCCTCCAACCCATCATTTCCAACCTCCTCTCAAAGATGATCTGCAAACAATGCTTTGAATTTGATCTTGGTCTTGATATAAATGTTATCCCTTTGGGAAAAGAAGCATCACTAAACTTCTTATGCATGGAACAGAATTAATTTACTTCTATGAAAGCTTATTTCTCCACTCTATATGCTATAGCTCAGAACTAAATATGCATTTTCCAAGCAGCATTGCTTAGATATTCTTAAAGCAGACCAGTCAATAAGATGCACCTACTGAATGCCCAGTGACTGAAGTCATACCTGATCAAACTTCTTCTGCTTCTTCTCTAGGTTGGAAACGATCTGTCGCTGATGATCCAGGTCCACAGTGAGGTCGTCCAGCTCTTGCTGCAGGCGAGTCTTTGTTTTTTCCAGCTTGTCATACGCAGCTGTCCTCTCTTCATAACGCTGGCTCAAGCCCTCCAAGTCCTTCTGCAGCTTCTTCCTGGCTTCCTCTGCTGACTCAAGGCATCCCAGACCATCATCCATCTTTTTCTTTGCATCTATTGCCTGAAGGACAGAAAAGACCACACATGAAGCCACACCACAGATAACTCTATATGTAATTTACTGGCACCCAAAGTCGAGGGAGTAAGTCTGCTCATTTCTGAAGGCATTACTTCCCCCTCAAATAATACTATATGACTGAATTCCCAAAGGAATTCCAGCATAGAAATCTACAAGCAGTTCATATGATTATCAGAGACCTCTTAATTTCCTGTCTCACCCAAATCACCAGGATCACCTTTTCCCAGGAAAGATTCTGTTACTAGAAGTCAATTCAGCATTTAGTTTTTACTTCCTTCAAGACAGACCTGCATTTGTGTTTCCTCTCAAAAGTCACTGGCTTATTGGATGCAGACTCCATACCTGTTGCTGAAGGACAGATATCTGTTTCTCCAGGTTTCTCTTTGCCTCCTCCTCTTCTTCCAGCTGCTCTTTGAAACTGTTCTTCTCATCTTCCATTTGCTTCAGCTTAGTGCTGAGGCTCAGTTTTAGGCGAGTCTCTTCCTGCAGCAGCTCCTATAAAGCAAACACCCCAGTGGAATTCAGCACCGCTCCTTGGCTTTAAAGGTTCACAATCCTCACCCACTCTCTCCAGAATGAGTACTTTTGAAGTTGAGTTTAAGTATGCAACTTATTTCACAGATAAAGACAACCGAAGACAGAATTTAAATAACTGTCTTCCAGTAAGTCAGTACAGAAAGAACACATTCAGAAGGGTTCTGTTCTCCTATACACTTGAGTGATGACAGTTTTCTACTTCACTACACAAGCCATCCACAGTCCTTTCTGGAGTCCTCTTGAGTAGCACACAAAGCATTAAAATCCTTCCCATCAACAGCATGACTGTACTCTGCTACATGATTTTCTCATATTCAAGTATCAAAGAAATGGACAACGGGCTAAAGTGACATGGAATGGTTAAACACAACATTGGTCTTAGCAGAATGACACCGGCCATTTACCAACAACATTTATTGACTTATGCTGCCAGCTCTTGAGCTGAAGGAACTGGAGAGACTAATAAGACCAGTCTTCTAACTGGAGCATAATTTTTTCTATTGGGCACTATCTCTGAGTCTGTTTTTTTTAAGAGAGTGATAAGTAGACAGAACATCAATGACTGTTCAAGGTTACTTAGTATCTGAGGTATGGCATACTCTTCCTTTCCCTTCCAACCTTCTGCTTGGTACTCCATGCTTTACCAAGACAGTCATATTCTATGAACTGTAAATGGTTGTTTTACATAAAGTGTAAGTCTAAGCATGATTTCCTGCCTAGAAAAACACAAATTATTTCAATCTATCACTTCCCCAACACCTACCGGGAAATAAAATTTTCTGCTTAACTTTACAAATTTACCAGAAGTCTCACACACACAAAATCCTGGCAAATACTTGACTATCAAGATCTCAAACAAGAACCTGGCATTCCAGTGCAGTTCTAGCATTAAAGAGCTCTCAAGCAGAAAAGGGATAGAGGAGGACTTCTAAATCTAAGACAGGGAAAGTTACATATGTTCACATACTGAGGAGGCAGAAGGAAGATAAACAGCTTGTTTCTGCAGAAATGCTCTCAACACCATGCAATATAACCCCTGAGCAAAAACACAGCCAGACCAAATCCTTCGAAGTGTTGCACATCCAGTATTTAATGGTGTCCAGAGTGATTTCTCACTTCAAGAATTTATAATGGACGTTGGCTGCACCATACACAGATGCCTTGGCTTCCAAAGCTCTCACCTGTGTATCCTGAAGCTGTGATTCCAGAGCAGAGAAGTCCTTTGCTAATTTGATTGATTTGCTGTCAGACTGGTTCAAAAGACCTGTGACATTGTCCAACTCGACCTGAAGGAGAGATCAGAGTATCAGTTATTAAATATATCAGCAAAAACAAGGCAGGACACAGGTGAGCAGCTACAAGACTCAAAAGGGAAAACTGAGGCACGTCTCAACAGTAATGCATATGTACAATCTCTCAGGCGAAAGAACACACCATTCCCAAAGTCCCAGGGATGAAATATGAGAAGTCAGAGAGATTTTCACTTAGGATCACCTCTGTTGCAACGGCCTTCTGGTTCTGGTTGGTTTGGGTTTTTTCAAGGTCTACAGGAGATTGTAGACAGCCTGCAAGACTTTAAAAGCTTCTATTAAACTATCTGCTTCTGGATTGTATCTAGAGTCTCAAAATTACATTTTCATACTCCAATTTTTTCACACAGCTGCATGCTGAAGAGAAGTAGACATGTCAATACTTTAAGGCTTACAAAACTCAACTGGCAACTGGTTCCTTTACCTTCAGGGCTGCTCATGATAAGCGACATCAATTCAAATGTCCTGCCCTGGCAATGAGTTAATAAGTTTGCATAGTCCTCGAGAAACAACCTATGGATTTGCTTTTTGTAGGAACTTCATCCTCAGGAGGAACAAGATTTTTGAACTAGCTATGGGAAGGTACCATCCTACAATCTCTTCTCTCTAGCCCTGGGCTGAATCAGAAGCTAAGGAAAACCCATGCCACTCACCTGCAATTTGTTAACTCTCTCAGCTAGTTCAGTCTTCACTCTTTCACCTTCTGTAAGCTTCACCTGCAGTTCTTGGAGCTGAGCATCTGCTTTTTTCCGCTTGTGCTCAGCATCCCCTTTGCCCTGCAGAAGAACCTTCACCTCATTGGACAGTTCGGCCTTCTCACTTTCCAGAACTTGTTTTGCTTTTTCAAGATTTGCTTTCGCCTGAAGAGGGAAAAAAAACCAGCAAAACCCCTCAGTCTTCAGATATGGCAGGATCCTTCCACTGAGTACATTTTTTTTTTTCTTTCCCAACAAGCAAGGTAATGTTACATGTTTAGCAGCTAAGTTGTAGACTGCTTACACAGCAAAACCAATTTGAACAGCCTGCCACTGATGAGCAGGAGACAATCTAACAACCAGAGAAGACAACAATGCAGAAGATAGTCTTGCACCATCAAATTTCCAAATTAAAGGTTGTACAAAGTTGACAAGCACTAGCAGTGAAAAGAATGTCTTGGCTATGCAGTATAGCATGCCTGATGGGAAAAAAAGAATGAATGCAACTATTTAAAACAACTTCACATATGCTTCATAGTGAAAAAATAATCTACCAAGGGAAGAAGAGCACATCTATCAGAAACCTAGTATCATTAACACTTCATTTTCTTCTGTATTTTTAAGAAGTGGTCATAGAAGAGCTATAATTTCAGGGAGGTTGACTGCTTTGGCCTTGTGTTTTCTGTTCCACATACCCGCTTGTTTTGTTCTAACTGCTCTGCCAGCTCTTCAACAGCTTGTGAATGTTTCTGCCTCATCTCTTGGATTTGAGCCTCATGAATCTTCGCCTCATCTTCAAGGGTCTTCTTCAAAACCGTTACTTCTTGCTCTCTCTTTGACCTGCAAAATTCACAAATTCCATTTAGATGCCAAGAAGAGAATCGAACAGATGTATATATCCACCGACAGCATCTCTAATGCAGAAAAATGTCAAGGTCTGTTCAGCCCTACAAGCTAAGACGACACTTTTCAAAGTCAGAGCTTAACATTGCACCCTTCTTAAGCGCACGCTGGCAGTACTACTTCCAGCCTAAGTAGTAATAGCCTGGAAGTATGAATGTTTCAGGGGTGTTGCTAACACTCTGGTTAGGAGCAAATTAACATTCTTAACATCAAGTGAGGTAATACAGTCTTGACTACAGCTTGCACACTACACTTCCTTCTATAGTAACTAAGGCTGCTCACCAGCCTACCTTGATAAAGGTGAAGGCTTGCTTCAGTAAGAGACTGGATGTAACAGCATTTATTAAAAAAGTCAAAACCAATTAAGACAACAGAGTTACATGTTGGAGTTACCTGAGCTCTTGCTGAGCAGCTGTAGAATCTAGTGTGTCTTCTAGTTCTGTTTTCAATGCTTCTAGCTCTTCTCCCAGATCCCGTTTCTGTTTTTCAGCTTTATTCCTGAATGCTCTCTCTGACTCCAGGTCTTCCTGCAGCTCAGTGATCTGGGATTCAAGCTCCCTGATCTTTTTCAGGGCCATGTTCTTCTGAGCTGCCTCTTCTTCCACCCTGTGTTCAATACAGAGTTCTGGTCAGAGCCAGATTTAAACAATACGTAAATTAAAACCACCTGTCCTACCAAGAGTAATCAAGAAAAAGTTGGTATTGATCAGCTCTACAATATTACATTCAAACTTTGATCCATATATCATCTACAAATTCTAAGCTCTATTTCCCAATACTTGAGAGAGCACCATTACTTACCTTAAAGAAGGGGACAGAGACAGACTGACAACAGAAGAAAGCAAAAGAGAAAGCACCATTTTATGTTGGAAACTGGACACTTTACTGAATAGGTGACTATAGCAACTACCAAAGAGACAGTGTGTTGTCACTACTTTTTAATCCCCTCTGAAATCTTACTGCTCCAGTGAAACGTGTGCAGTGCACATTACATTCATCGTCTAACTCTGTACAGAGAATGTGGCAGTAAGCAGCAAAGAACTCTGATGCCAAGGACATGGATCTTAACATTCCACAAGCTGAAATACAACTGCCACAGATTCCATTTAGTTCCTATTCCAAAGTGACACAAGACAAGAAATACTTCCCCACAGGTCAGGTTCTCACCTAGCTAAGGCTGCCTGCAGCTCCTCTTCCTTCTTGGCCAGCTGCATTTTGAGTTCTGCAATCTGAGCCTGCAGCTCAGCAATCTGGTCATGCAGATCACTGGAGTCTCCTTCAAGCTTTCGACGAGTCTTCTCCAATTCTTGCCTCTGCTTTTCTTCACGTCGCAGACGTTCTGATGGAGACGGGGACACATTAAGTTACACGGACAACACATACTCCAAGAACATTGTATGAGCAGAAAAAATAAAGCTATTTAAGGAGCAGTTCCTTTCCAAATAATACAACTGTCCAAACTGTAGCTGGAGTGCATAATTCTGTCAGGACCTATACATGCAACTGCCCTCACATTTCACCCTCAAAACATATCTGGGCAATTTCCCATCTTACAGCCAAACCTCCTTCCCCCTTTTCACTGTAACAAACAATGCTGGCACACCACCAGTCTCTCCCAACACCCAGACCACACAGGCATAAACACTCATTAAGTGATGCTGAACACAAGGTCTGCTCTCCCTTTTCTGAAACTAAATAGGCTGGCTCCTGCTGTGTTAACCTGGGCAGACTCCAGATGAAGTGCCTTTAGCTTGAACTCTGAAGAACCTGTGCAAACAGGGTACCACAAACAGCACTAACCCAGACAGATTGATGCTGCTGGAAGTAGAAAAGTGGAGACACTTCCACAGAAGGAGAAGAAAGAGAACCAGCCTCTCTTCTCCATTGGCCTGCTGCTTTGGAGAGGATTTTTATTTAGAACAAGGGCTCAGCTGACAAGGCATATAACCTTCAGCCAGCCACTGAACAGCTCTATCAAACTGATCAATAACATACACATTAGAGACTAATTTTTAACCCCTCAGAAACTGGAGAGGACTAAAACTCTAGAAATGAAACTGAAGTTCAACAAATTTTAACAAGAAACCACACACAAAAAAAGACGAAACCAAAACCACCTTCAAGGTCTGTGATCATGGCCTCATGCTTATTCTTGAGTTTGGCTAAACTCTTAGACTTCTCCTCCTCCTCTGTCAGGTTTGTTGTAAATTCAGACATTCTGTCTTCCAACAGTTTCTTTTCCTGTAGAATTGAGAAAGCAGTGTCAAAGCAGCCACTGGAATTACAGGAGATTTTTCCAGAGTTGACTGCTTAAAGACGTATATGTCATGAGTGCCTACTCCTGCTACAAGGAAAATCTGGAACAAAATAAATCCTTTAAGAATTACAAACAGTATTCAAATAAATGGTTACTTAAAGAGTTGTATTTGATAGCTGTTTCAAAACTGAAAGGGAAGTCTGCTTATGAAATAACTTGCTACTGTTTGACATAACGTGTCAGAAAATGTTTGTTCATGGATTATTTTTTAGTCAAGGCTATTTAAATATACAATACTGAACTGCAAAGAATACAAGCAGGTAGGTAATTTCAAAAATTCAGGTCAGATTTGTCAAAGACAAGGTTGGATTCATTCACAAGTTTCTCTGTAATATGGGAATGGTCAGCCTTTGGTGGGTGGCTCTAACAGAAACACCTGTGCATCTTCCGCCTGCATAAGAAGCTACACAAGTCTTACCTTAGCCAATTTGAGATTCTGATCTTCCAGAACTATCACATCTTCTTCCAGTTTCTTCAATTTGGCCTCTGTGGTCACTTTTTCTAGCTGCAACTTCTGCCTTGCGCTTTCCTCTTCCTCAAGCTGCTCCTCTAGTTCCTTCACAACACCCACAGAAAAGCAAGGCATTTGTCAGTGCTGCTCACCAACCAATGTAATAGCACAGTAACAGCACTGGAACTCGGAAGGTTTTTTCACCCTTCTGTCAAGGTATTATTAGTACTTTCTGAAAGTGACATCTCTGTCATGACTTCATGCAAACTACTGCATTCTAACAAACAAATTTTCCAGCAGAATAAACAATGCTATTTCGCAAAGAAGAATGCTACCATTTCTAAACACCTGGCTTAAGCAAAGACTTGTCTAATTATTTGACAAGTGGCCTTCATCTTCAAGAATGAAACAGCTCATTCCAGATGACTGGCTGAACGCCTCAGGCTCAACACCAGAATCGCCATGTTCTATTGCTGTTTCCACAGACAGATTTTTCTATGCTTTTTTTTTTGTTCTCTCTCTCCTGATTCCCCCAAGCTGAGACAAAAGAACCACTCTAACGCTTACTATCCTCTTTACTGACAAGAGACAGCATTCCTAACACATTACCTGGATGTTCTGCTGCATTTTCTTCTTTTCAGCCTGCAGATGTTGACACCGTTCTTCTTCTTCCTCCACCCTTGCTTCCAGGTCATGACATATTTCCTCCAGTTCTTGTTTCTTGGCTGTCAAGCGGGCTCTTATCTCCTCAGCCTCAGCACAGAGTTCAGTTTCTGCTTGCAACTGTTCCTGCAGCTGCATCTTCTCTTGCATTAGCTACATTGGACAAAAAGTCAGAAATAAGACAAGCTCCAATTTAGCCTTACTTAGCAAGCTGCGTTAAGTGAAGTTATGTGCTCCTGTGGTCCATAGTTACAGTCTTACCCATTGCAGCTGTCTCCTGCTGCTAGTCAAAAGCTAAATATCAAAATATAATTTTTAAGCATTTGTTCTCCTTCATAAACCATGCACTGCAACCACAGACTACGTTAGCCTTAACAAGTTTCTCAAGAGCATATCCATTTGAAATAAGGAGATTATCTAGTTTTCCCCTGCAAAAGTAACACAAATAATTAACAGCTCCACAGAAGAACAATCCTGCCGCCACCTTCTGTGTTCAAAAATAAAGGATTCCACTGATGATGAGGTTGAATTCAACCAGCTTGTTATAACACTCAGCCAAAGGAGACTTTTCTTCACATAATGGTTATAGAAGGGCAGTGGGTGGTCACTACACAAAATGATCTGCTAGAGGAACTGAGCTGGGAAGAAGGGCAAAGAAAATTGAACAAGATGGCAGTCAAGTCACATATTTGAACAAGTTGGAATCCTGCAGCATATCCATCAGACTAATAAAGCAAAAGGAGGAGCTCTCAAGCCATTGGCCAGGTGGAGAAACAATTATTTTTACACGAGGGTTGCAAACTCACCTGCGCCTGGAAGGTCTCCATCTCACTAAGCCTATTTTCTGCAGCTAGCTGCTTCTCCTTGACCTTTATTAGTTCTTCTTCCTTGGCCATCATCTCCTCTTCCTGTCTGCTAACTTGCAGAAGAGGTTTCACCTGAAAGGGAAATCAAGGGAATAAGATGTGTATAAGGAACAAGGAAAACAAATAAATGCTCTTGCATTTGATAAGCATTGAATAAACCAACATTTTTGATAAGTTTCATATTTGAAGGACAGACTAATTGTTTTGTTGTGAACACTGGGAGGATCATAGAGTACCAGATATCATCTACTCTGCCAATAACACTCCTTCCGTGTGCTGAACTTTTTCTCCAGGATAGGATGCATTGCGAAAGGGTTGGGTAAATTCCAAACCCTCAAAGGCTAAGTAATAACAGCAGCAGAATAAAAGTTGCCATATAGCAGGGAAATTCACAGGTAGGTCAATGTAAACAAAAAACAAACAACATCCATCTCTGCTTCCCCATCAAAAACCCTTAGAAGTCATTTCGCAGGAAAGAGAAGAAAAGTTAAACTCTGCTCTCAACTGTCACTTAGCTGCAAAGTCTCATGGCTGAAAAGCAAGAAATTCCATACATTTAGAAAAAAAAACCCAACAAGCAAGCCACTTCTTCATATGTTCGTTGTAGATATTTTACCTTTATAAAGACAAGTCTAACAACCAGATCAGACCTCAGTGCTTTTCTTTTGCTCTTACAACCCTGGAGAAAGAGACAGCAAGCCACTCTCGTATTAACAATTTTTGTCTAGCTAAATTGATTAGCCACATTGTAAGTGACCCTTTGAAGAGCCATCCACCAAAACAAGTGATCCTCTTACTCTTCTTAGGCTTAAGGCATTAGAAGATGACTCCTGCTTTTCCACAACATTACTTGGATATAGCCTTGCACTTGGTTTATGCAGACATACTGACAGCATAGCTAGAAAACATGCTATGATATTCTGTGCCTAAATGAATCGAAGTATAATGCAATCCAGCTCAACTGTAGAGGAAGTGGGTTTTATGCTCTGATTCCCTGGGTTTCCCGGCCCATGGCAGGGGGGTTGGATCTAGATGATCTTTGAGGTCCCTTCCAACCCTAATCATTCTATGATTCTATGATTCAACCTGAGAAGTTGAAATTGCAACCAAACTGTCAAAATTGCAAAGGGAAAAAAAATATTACCTTGGTGAACAACCTCCACCATTGCCAGTTCCGCAGTTTCAAATAGGCAGCGCAGTTCCTCTGAAGCACTTTCATGGCTGTCAATTGCTGCTGGCGCTTGGCAAAGGCTCTGCAAGGTAAGTGGAGGTCAGACAAAGGAACCCACAGCAGCATGCAATTCTCTCCACCAAGCCCTTTCTTAGATACCTATAAATTTTTACTTTAGAAGGTTTCCTCCTAAAAAACCAGCAAAATTTCTAGTTAACTTCCCCTATCTTTTAAAGTGGGTTTTTTACCCCTCAGGTAAGAGTGGTTATCCTTTCCTTTATTCAATTTCCTATTTAATCAAGTTTTTTCCCTAATGTCTTCTAATCTGAAAAGCCTCACTATTTTCACTTAAAAAAAAAGGGAGATCTGAAACAGAGGTGTGTTTTCCTGCCAATCTGACAGATATTACACTTTTAGAACTGTACCATTTCCAGTCCTACCTAATAGCTTAAGAGAAATCTTACACATCCTGGATCAGTACTGTACTAAGACCTTTTCATTTTCACATTTGCAGTTTGTAGCACTCTGTCAAAAACATTGTCTGTTGTATAGTATTCCTATAGAGAGGAATAGACTTTACTGCTCTGGTAGTATGTGGGATAGCAGCACACAGTTTCTTGCAGATGCCAGAAGTCCAGCAATACAGAGATCAGAAAACCCTAAAGCAACCATCAGCTATTATATTTAACAAATAAATCATGGTCTTTCTGACAAAAAATAATTTATAGTCAGCTTTTTTTGAAGAGAAACCTGAACCTGAATGGGAGAAATACCATGTTTATAACGTACTTTACAAAGTATAGTCCTTACTTTCTGGCCAGGTAGCCTCTACAGCAGGCTTGGAAGCCAATAATGACATCTGTGATCTTCAGGTCTCGCTCTTCTTCAAGATGAGCAAGGACTCCAGCTCTGAAAAAGACTTTACTCTGTCCAATTCGATAGAGGTTGGAATCCAGCTCCAATGCTTTGATCTAAAATGTGAGAGAGAAGAATTCATCTTCTGCAAAGACTTGTTCATGTGAAACATCACAAAACATATTTGTGTCTCATGGCTGTAAGATAGCCCTTCCTACAACGAGCCACTCAGGCCAACCAAAGCTGCTAGCTCCCAGTAAAGTCCTATCCCAATTAGAGGAGTTGGAGTTCAGCCAAGCACAGCATGAAATGGAGGTAACCAGAGACAGAAAATATGATAGAAAGCATTGTTTAATACACCATCACATCAAGTACCCAGGAATACAAGGATGCTGTGAGGAACATATGCCCAGTCCCAAGAGCCTTCTGCCTTTCCTAAAGGAAACCCATCTGTTGATCCTTCCTATTGATTTTTAACCAGTCCCAATCTTTGTCAGAAAAAAGGCACCTCCTTATACTACTTAAGAGAAGTAAGGTATACTCCTTTAAGACAGAATAAAAGGGAATCCTTTACAGCCAAATTCAATTCAGTCTCCCCTAGTCTTCAAGCTACAGAGCCAAAGCTTTCCCTTTGAAGCAGGCAATTCTGCAAAAATTAATATGAGCCTTCAATGAAAGCATTTGTCATCAGCAGGCCATTACAAAAAGTTTGTTGAAGCTCATACTTTAAGCATGTGTTAAAGACAACGTTAATGCTTCTTAATTTGATTCCCTGAGTACTGCTGCATCTGTGGAAACAGAAAGATACTCTTTGCCTAGGATTACTGAATCTCATGCTAGTCAAAAGTCTCCATCTGCAAAGCTGAGACACAGCTTTTTGCACCTTCCTCCTCTCAAACAAAACATTTGACTTTGGAATTTTGGTCTGTGAGTAAAAGATATATTTAACATGCACAACTCTGATTTCCACACCACACTCAAAGTTTATCCTATTTACATAAGAGTTTCTGGGATGTCTTACCATCAGCACACAAGCCTGCTTTCCATCCATAAATCCTTTGGGAATTGCATTTGGAGTTAAGATTTCATATCTGAAAAGGAGAAAACATTAGACTAGTTACACAAGTATATCTGAAAACAACAACAAAAAATCCTCAGTAATTCCTATGGCATGGTAAGTTTGACAGCTCGCAGTCTTGTCAGAAGAAAAAGATTGCATCTCTAGGCAATAGAGTATGAACCCGCAGCCTTAGATGGGGTCCTCTATGCCTCACCTTAACCATACACTTACTAGAGAAGTCAAAGATGCTTTTGTGAGGCTTTGTGCCAGGAAATAGCAAGGGACAGATGTTCTATGTTGCTGCGTTTGAAAACAGTGGCAATCTTGTTGCAATAAAGTATTTCAATTTTTGCACTAATGTCTTAACTTTGCTGGGGTAAAGACTGCTTCAGATTCTTTTCTAGGCCTTACCTTTGTCTGAATTCCTGGAATACAACTCTGTTGGGAAAACCTTGACGACAAATACGGATTCCCTCCAGCACCCCATTACAGCGAAGCTGGTCAAGGACCAAGTGGGGATCTAGTTTTCCAGCCTAGTGAGGAGAAAGCATATTTTATAAATACCACAAAGCTTTTACAAAGAGGCTTACCCCCTTGTCTCCCTCTCCTTTTTGCAAAGCAGTCAGTTCTCTTTCCCAATTACAAGCAATTGAAAGCTTTTGTGCCACCTTAAGAACTGCAAAGATCAGTTTCCAAACTGTGTGTACAGTCAGTATACAGTTATTTAGGACAACCTTAAAAAGACATCCTAAGAAAACAGGGCCTCTTTAGGATCTCTTGCAAAACCTGACAAGAGATAGCAACCCAGCCACATGTCCTCAGAAGCCCATGTAAGACTGCATGTGCTGTACTGTTATAATCGCCTTTACCTTTTTCTCATGGTTGGGGATAATACAACGGACGAAGTTGGGGTTGGTGTTCCTCAAGGTGGCCATCAGTTTAGCCAGCTGTTCTTTATAGAGCTGTCCCACTGTTCGGAACATACCCTTCCTGGTTTTAAAGGCCCCTGGCAATGCTGTATCTGACATACCAGCTACTTGATCCAGCCCAACAATACGGTCAACTAGAGAAAGCACAAGAA